CCCTTCCCCCACTCGCCATTTTCTCCCCTGTTGTACAGCTCTCTTTCACTTTTTTGATCCTCTTTTCAGGTCATTTGAAATCAGATTAAGGATAACTACACTTTATTTATATTTATGGAATAACAAAGTTCCTTAAGGTTAATAATAACAGTAATAGTTATTATATATTACCGATTATATCTGTATAAAAAAGAGTACCACGTTTTGGACAAATCCTGAATTTTTGCAGGAGATGTAACATTCTATCCAGAATCACTGGATAGAATGCTGCTGGGGACAACATACGTGCCTATTCGCCGGGGCTGTCGCCGCGTTCACCTTGTCAAAACCTCCACCAACCCCGTTCACTTCCCTCCTCCAAAGAGATGTGAGAAGGGTACTGAAATTCGGAAATACAGGGAAGGAGCTGCGTGAAGGGTGCCCGAGCCTGGGCATCAGCTTCGCCGCGCGGCTGTGGCGGGGGCTGCAGACCTTTCCTGCCGCTGCTGTCCTCCAGCACTCCCTGGGTGCCTTTGGGCCCCTTTGCCCCGAGCAGGGAGCAGCTCCGGCCTCAGGCAGCACCCATCTGCCCGGCCCTCGCACAGAGCCATTCTCTGGCAGAGACGGCTTTTCCTCTTGCCCCACCACAGCACACCTCCACCTGTCCTGTCCCTGCCACTGCTGGGTCCGCCAGCCCTGGCCCCGGCTAAGGGCTGCTGAGCGCTCTGGAAATTTCGGGAAGGGCCGAAACACTGTTTAAGCAGCAGGCTCTTCCTAATGGGAGGGAGAAACCTGACTCAGGGGCAGGGGGACATCCTCGCCATGGGTGGACTTCTCCAGTTCCTCCGTGGCTCCCCCCAGGTTCTGGGAAAGCAAACAGCCGGGTAAACAGTATTTTAACACATTGGCTCCGGCCACTCGCAAAGACAGAAAAGGATGCCAGGAAGCCAGGTTTCAGCTAGGAGATAAAACCGGCAGGGCAGCGGTGTGTGGATTGTGCAATGCGAGCCGGGGTCTTTGGGAGGGCGGTGCAGGACCCCCGTGTGCGGGCTGTTAATGAGTGACCCGGCGTTAATGAGTAACGCGGGCGGCTGGCAGCGCCCGCCGGGCTGGAGGAGCAGGAGCTGCTCCCGGCTCTGCAGCGGGGTCCTGGGGAGATGTTGCCACCATCACACATCTCCATTTCGCTCCCTATAAAACTGGGACACGGAGCAGGAATAGATTTGAGCGCAGCCTTTTGAAAGTGCTGGAGATTTTTCCCTGTGGCGCTCAGCGAGTGGTGGAGCTCCCCCCGCCTGAGTTCTAGGTTTCTCCCAGAGCTGGGGAGTCACGATGCATATGTTCGCCTAAGAAAGCAGTAAAGCTCATTTTTTATTATACCGCTTCCAAATGCACACATTTTATCAGGAAAGATTTCAAATACACTCCTTGACCCGTGTGCCCATATGCTTCCAGACTGTTTGCAGTGTGAGACAAGCTCTGGTTTTCAGATAAGCCTTTGAGGCAGTTTAAACCACTGCCTCGTGTGCTGTTCAAGATCCAACCCTGACTGTCCTGTGGCTTTCTTAAATATGCCAGTAACTACTGCCATGTGTGAGGGGCAGGTAAACCCCCAGGCTGAATGGTCAGACCTCAGCCCAAGCCAGGCAGCCATGCAGTCCCTGGGGTGGGTGTGTTGTCAGAGCCTTGTGTGGATTACTGAGAAACTGTAAAAATAATATTAGAAAAAAAAAATCTAAAGTGCCTCCACTTCAGAGAAATCTGGCCTTATGGTTTTGACTGGAGTATCATCTCTTCCTTTAAAAGCTCTGACCAAATTATTGAGCTGATAAGCGATTTCCCTTGGTTTTACATGTGCTGGCATGAATTATCCTTGAGTGCTGCATATTAGGGTTGTTTTGTACTAAAAGGTGTTAAACACTTGTAATAAATATTTTTCCTTATTTCCCCTAGGACACTGTTCCATCTCTGGTTGGTGAAGCATAAAAAAGAGCTGTCATGCCCAGTTTTAATAGGCAATAGGATTTCAAGCCCCCAGAGTTGTTTCACAGTCTGGCAGTGGCCATAATGAAACTGGCCACTGTTGCCACAAGACTTTTTCCTCTCATGCGTTCTCCCCTGTTACCTCCCACAGCTGCTTGACTGGCAGGTCTCTTGCAAACCGCAAACATATTTACATTGGAGCCAGTAGTATTTCTTTAGCTATCTGTGCCATCTTTCTCGGTTTTTATTTTCCTTTGCCCAGATAGAGACTCAACCTTAAGTCTAATTTTAAAGAATAAAATTAAACCGTGCATGCAATTATCTGCATTTGGGTACAAACAGCAGTTCATTTTCATGTGTTTTGTTGTGAAGCAAATAGCTTGTTTGTTTGTTGGTTTGTTTGTTTGTTCACACTGATTCCCAAATAAATGGGAAAGTACCATTATTCACTCGCCCAGGATTTATTCACAAAAATGCAATCACAGGCTCCCAGACTCTGGGCAGAGTGGGGGGGGGAAGGGGAGTCCTTTCTCTGAAGGAGAGTCAGTGTCTCACTCTGCTCTGCAGCTCTGGAAAGAGTCAGGCTAACCTAAGCCAACCAGCATTCGTTTGGGTGTCTAAAAAAAATTCAACATTTAAATAAAAGATACCTCCTTCATCTCTTTGAGGTACAGGTACAGTTGTGGTCCTAATAAACCGTACCCAAAAATGGCCATTGTAGCAATAGATGGATTTTCTGCACACACCAATCCATCAAGCTTTAACAGGCAGCTTCTGCAAATGTCCCTGCCCACTGAAAAGCTGGGAGAGCAGGCAGGCCCTCCAATGCGCCCAGAGGGTCAAACACTTGGACCAGGCAGGGAAACAACCCTCCTATCCCCCAGCCCTTCTTATCTAGCAGCTCTGCCTTCACCCTGGGAGCCCTCCATCCCCATTCAACAACAGAATTTAGCAAAGATTCAATTTTTCATATTGTGTTCTTAAAACAAACGCAGTGCCATATTTTAAAAGTCACTAAGATGAGTTTGGGGGAGCGCTGGAAGCCATTGCAAAGGCTGAGGGATGTATTTGCCATTATTTCCCAAACACAGTCAGTCGTATGCTGCCACTCTCCCTTTCCCTCCTAACAAAGAGGGAAGACTGGATCAGAAGGGATCATCTCCATAGAAATTGTCTTGGCACAACCTAGACTGGGCATAAATAAGGGTACAGACCAAGAAAATGAGAGCAATTAACCCTTTCAGGCTCTCAAATGACAAAACGTAGTCTTCCACATTCAGCTGCTCAGTAATGTGATGTGTGAAAGACCCCAGTTGCTAGTGATGGTCTCAGTGACATGAAATTGTTCAATTATTTGCCTTGCTCAGGGATAATTAATATCTTCCTTATGATTTTTAAGCTAGAACATAGTATCTTTCTTATTGTAAAAATTCCAGGTATTAGGGGAACTGAGGATTTCCAAGCACAGATGGCCAGATCTGCAGAACTTGGATCATTTCAGGGTGCTTGAAGCCTGGGAAAGTTGATTTGGCCCTCTGCAATGACAGGGACTACTTGCCAAGTTCCAGTCTAGCTCTGAACTCCTGCAGTATTCTGAGATGCCAATAACTAGGATTTCTTATTTAGAGATCTGTGTGCTTTCCACTGCAGGGTAAAACGACAAATAGTGTTTTCACAGAACCAGTATATTTGAGAGAAAAACTGATAGGGGCACTGAGTGAGCTGGCAATTACACACACAGCTCAGATCCTTTGGTCCATTAACTGGGTACCTGAGGATGGATGATCTCTGTCTCCCTCAGCATCATAGTTAAGTCTTGATAACTAACACAAAACTTTTTTTAGTATGTTGGTTTGGTAATGTGGATAGATATAACTAGGAGAGGCAATTTGTTTGCAGTAAAACCAGAGATGCTCTCACATTTATATGACTATTAGTTATGTAGATGTAACTTCATGACCTTCCACAGACCTTTACACCCCATGTTGAGGTGGCCCAACAAATGCAACTCCAGTTGTATAAAAATACATGGAGTTTTAACTGCTGATGCAGATATGAAGTATTTATTTGGTTGTTACAATGAAGCTAAAACTAGATTCAGGCTCCAGCTTAGCTCTGGTGTCCTGAGGCTGAATCAGGGAAGATACTGAAAATAAATTACCTCAGATCAAAATATATTTTTAACACGCTTCTCCTTCAAAATCAGAAGAGTCTTGCAGGATTTTGTGATCTAAATAAGCTACAGTCTTACTGCCATCTGCACCAATTCGAAGCCAAAAAGAGAACTTTCATATCTGAAACACGGACAATCATGTAAATCAAAGGTCCACTCAACCTCAAAATTTTAAGATAACATATGAAACAGCAGACACAGAAAAAAGCAAAAGAAAAATGATGAACAAACACATTTTGAGGAATTGTGTAGGAAGAGAATAGTTATATATAATGCTGATGGATACAGAGCTTGAAACAGAAGAGATCCACGAGTGATGGACTGTAACAAAAAGAGAGGATGGTCACTACCAGTAAAAAGGCCAAAGTGGTAGGAGTAACAAATGTGAACCAAATGTGAACCACTACAGCTCAACAAGCACTACCCCTGCTTTCACCCAGCTTGAGGAACTCCCTGTTGCAGGACACCAGCATGGCGTGTATACCCAGGAAATGATTAAACAGTATAAACAAAAGTACCTTCTAGCTCACATTGGCTACATTTAATTTAAAGGGCTGTCGATGCCTCAGACATAACAGGTCTCTTCCAGGGAGTTATTCCTTGGCAGATAGACTATTGCAAAATAACATTCATTATCTTAACCGGCGCTGTGCTGGAGGTAGGGCACCGAGGCCATAAATCATTATATCCATTTTGCAAGAGGGCTGGGAGTTTCATTAATAAATAATTTGAACTAAGGGGAAGAGAAAACCTTCAGAGGACGACAGTGTTAGGCACAGCCTGGCCACAGCCAAGCAGTTCAGGAGTTCGCCTCTTGACATGGGGCAACATAAACTTTTGGAAATAAATGTAAACAATGGCAATGAGCTTGTAATTTATATTTTATTTTGCACAAGCTTGCATATATACTGCACATACATTCAGTTTAGAGAAGATGGAAGGCACACAAGGCAATTGAACTACTGTATCCTTTAAGTGGTACAAAGCAAAAAGGTAAAAGTCTGGAGAGTATACAAAAGCTTTAAACACACAAAATAAAATCCACCCCCCCCCAAACATTTTTCCTGTGTTTATCTTAAATTTAGTAGCTGCCAAGCTAGAATTGTAACTTTTTTTCAATCAATTGTCTACTGCACCTTTTTTTTTCCAAACGGACAGGGGAGTCTTATTGTTTTATCTTGTCATCAATTAATATTACAGTACATCCTTGGTAATACAAAATTGTACACCTTCATCAAATAAATTAGGATAAATTAAACCAATAAATTATGCAAAGTCTTCAGAACAATAGACGACAACAAAAAAATCCACAGTTGAAATTGCCTCTAGCTAAAAAATAAAATAAAAAAAAATCAAAAATTGACTTTATCAGTTCAGTTATTGTACTATCTTCAAATTAAAGGGTCTTTATTACAAAAAAAAGAGCTTAATAATGCTATTTACAACATATTGCTAAATAATATAAAGGCAGTGTTTTGTCACTTTTGTAACTATATACATATGAGTAATGGCTGGGACAATATCAGTTTAAACCTTAACCTTTGACTCTTCTGGGCAGCATTAAAACCAACCTAAAGAGGCGCTTTTTTCCCTCCTGTTTTAGTTTCTGACTCTTACATGTAATATGGTAATGAGATGGTTATTGTGTTTGTCTACTATCTCACTCAAGTGGTACAATTAATGCAGAAGGTATGGATTTTAGAGAAAAATGTAAGCTCATTGTTTCTTCTAGATTTGTTTCTACATATCCCAGTATTTGTGCATTTGTAAGGTGGCTGCTTTGGGAGAGAGGTGACTGTGGCTCAGATGAAAAGACTGAATAAAGTCGTAGTGCCACCACCTTTCATACACTAAAAAGGATGTTCCTAAGAAGATACAAAGGTTAAATACCAGTTTTCATCCCAGCTCTAAATATGAGCATTTTTAGCTTCAGTTTATAGATGGTTTACAACCAACAGTTCTACAGAAAACAAAATTGCATTTCCTTCAACAGAACATTTAAGTGCAATACAGTAACTGCTTACTCATATAAACCAGTTACATTCCTTAAGGGGAGCTTTTTGAAAACAATGCGTATTGGAATTTTCAAACACAGAGTTGGTACCAGAAGGAAACATTTGCACTATTAACACCAATGATTGCTATATAATACACATGGCAAATATAGTTTTTGCTTTCACTTCTCATGTACAGTGCTCATTTTGGGGGTTTTGTAAACCACTTTCCATTTTTAATATATATATATATATATCTTTCTGTATATATATATATGTATAATCTTTCAATGCTGCTGGTGAAAATCCTATCTTTAAAGCCACAAAATCTTCACCTTTATTTCTTAATTAATATTAACCTGTGGAAAAAAAACATTTTTCTATTAACTGACTTCATATACATAGAAAAAAATTCTGCAATTTTACAGAAACTGTATTACCCATTCCCTTGACATCTGATGAAAGAGACTTAACTTTTAAAAGTAGAGAGCTGGATTTTCAAGAATGCTTTCAACTATCTACACAGTTACTGTAGTGTTTCTTATAAATTCAACAGATGTTTTCAGAATGTAGTTATTAAAATCTTATGCCTTTATGCAAGAACAGCCGTAAGGTTGAATATTTACATTGCTTTATAAAAGTTCCCCTCGATTTTCAATGTTCACCCACATACCTGGTACAGTAACAAAGATTCTGCAAACTTAAAACACTTTGATTAAATAATACTCAGAGGCACAAAGCAAACCTCAGGAATACATGGGTGAACACTTCCTTAAATAATTACTACATTCTAACATCTTCCACGTGTTTACCATTAAATGTGAAACGTTCCCATTAAACAACCAGAGATACAGTAAGAATTAAATGTTTTGTAGTTTCAAATAGAACATTCTTTTCACAAAACATAACAAATGTCTAAAATAGGTTCTTAATCTAGATAGGAAAAAGGTAAGCTTTTCACTTCATACGCATCTTTTCTGTGTGTGTGTGTGTGTGTATGTTTTTGTGTAAATATACATACATATGCCCACACATGTTGTCCTGTGTGTGTGACCACATACGTATCTGTATATGCACATATGTCACGTATGAAATATTGCTTCTATACTACTTTTCATCAGGCTAAGAAAACACAAGATTTGCACCACAGTTACAAAAAATTGGCTTCTACAAGAATTTTCAAAACTCGAATGCTGCTCAAACAATTGAGAAAAAATAATTTGCATTATCAAACTGTTCTAAAAATTCTCTTCTTCAAAAACGTATTCTCCTGCTTTGTTTTTTTTATTTTTTTAATTTTTAAAAAGACACAAAATATGCATAGCTATCAACATCATGTCAAACAGCCGGGAAAAAAAAAAGAAAAAAAAAGGTCAGTGTTTATTGCAGCTGTAGTAATTGAAAAATAAAGTTTAAAAGATGAAAATTGTAAGCCACAGAAGGCACAAGAACAATTGTACTTGTGGGGGAAAAACTGGTATTTTGAAGGATTTTTTGTCTCCTTCCGCTGGTGTATTTAAGGTCTAGGCACAGACTATAACCTCAAGTTTATATGCAGAAATAAATCTGAATTAGCAGTAAATGAATGGCAAGATGGGGTTTCTACATGGATTTTGAAATTCTTTTCCTATGTAAACCTTTTGTTACAATAAAAGTAGCCTCTTGCCTTTTAGCCATTTTTAGTGAAATAATATTGAGATAATTTAAAAGAAATTGGATTGGATCATTCTACTTAGAATTTAGTACAAGCTATGCCATGTATTTGTAATTTCAGGTGAATTGGGAGGCACAAAGGCAATATGGCTATAAAATGCAGAAAAATCACATAACTGAAATGATCATTTTATCATTTATTCCTTTTTCAGACCAAGGAGGTTTTTATTTTGCTTTTAAGATGAAATTTCTAATTTCTAATTAAGATGAAATTTCCTAATTCCTATGCCTCATTTACTATTGAGATTATACTACCCATAAATAAATAAATAAATGCAACAACATCAAGTGTTGAGTACACAATTTCACTTATTTAGATTATGTGAATCCCATTGCAGCCAAATAATAATAATATTAATAATAATATAATAATAATAATATAATAATAATAATAATATAAAGCAACGGTAAAATCACAGGTTGAGATGGTAGCTAGTAGTATGTCCACATAATATGATAAAAGTATGGCTTTGCTTTCTTATGTCCAAGGTGACAATGCAAAGTAATATTTTGCATCTGATGGTATGCCAATGATGAACTTACTGTATTAAAACTTGAGCATTTTATGCCACTTCTTCCCATAAATCAAAAAAAGTGCATGAACACAATTTTCATCCTTTCTTAGAATTCATTGGAGTTACATCTTTATGAAGTGTAATGTTTACCAAGTCATGCACACACAGAGAAAAAAAAAAAAAAAAGAAGGAAAAATGAAATAAAGAAAACAAAATAAAATGAAGTAAAATGTAAGAAAATAAAAGAAAGAAAAAAAAATAAATCCTGTCTACCGTAAGGATACGTACAGTATTAGGTACTCTCAGGGAGTCTAAGATCAAGATTTGTTTTGCTTTTAATGCATAGTGAAAATGTTGGCACTTCATCCCATGCTATTGTCTGCATTGCCTATACTCCACAGATACTGCCAGTGCTTGAAAAGAATGACAGGGAATCGGAGGATTGTGCTGTTTAATTTGAAGTCAGCAGGTTTTTAAGGCTTTCTGCTAACAATAATTGCTTTCATACATTTCTGTCTATCAGCAGTATTTGTAAATGAAGTGAAATTGCAATGATCAGGTCAGCTCTTTAGTCACATGGGTAAACTTTCACTCTCCAAAGTCAAAATGCAATTTCAAAATAAAGAAGATACCAATATCCTCAATGGTCTAAATATAATTCACGGCTAATTAGGAACTTCCTCTAGATTTAGATTGAATTATGTAGGGGAAAATACTATTGATGATAACAATAAATTCTTACTGCATCCGTACAAAAGACGACAAAGAAAATGACAAATACAGTGTGCCATAGCATATTCAACCTTCCCCCAAACTTCTGGAGACAATTTCTTTCTGAAAACGTGAGAAAAGGAGAGCCACTAAAGAAAGCATGAGAACTAGCAGCTAGCTTTCTTTCTTTTTTTCAGTTGTATCGTGGTCTAGCATTCAGGCAAACCCAGGTCCATCAGGGACATTACACTGCAGCTCAGGTTTTGGTCACCACTAGCTCCAGCTTCAGAAGACAAGTGCAGCCACATTGCCCAAACAGATTTTTTTCTTTCCTTGTTTAGTTTTTTTTTTTTTTTTTTTTTTTAAAGCTGCACTTACTGTAATTTTAAAAATCCAATTTGGGTATCTGAACCCTGCATAACCAGGAGGACACTGTGATTTTTGTACAATGCTTGATTAGATTTTTATGAAAATGTAATTTTTATTCTTCTGAAAAAGAATAAAAAGGCTAATTATACTTTATAGCTACAAACAAGCCTTTTTTTTTATTTTTATTTTTTTCCTTTCCTTTGCCTCAGCACTGTGAGATGAAGGCTCTTCTACTTTATCTAAGATCATTCAAAAAGTGCTTTTTAGGACAGATGTCAAATATGGACAGGAAACTTTGTATGTTGGAAAGGGGATCTTGGGAGGCAGAATGGACTAAGAAAAGAATAAACTTAGGGACTTATGCCACTTAAAGTAAGACCAAGACATGGTGTTCATTATACAGTGCTGAAGGTTTCATTTTTACTCTATGGAGAGTGAAATGCTTCCACTTTAGTAAGCTGACCATGTTCCAAAATTACTGTGGTTGTTACAATATTGTGCATGAAATTACTGGCCTAACCCCGCAAGAACAGTATTTGATTTGTGCAAACATCCCTTGCTGCAATTTAGAGAAACAAGAACCTGGCATGTTGGTTACTGGTGCAGGGTATCTGTCATTTCTGTAAGGAAAACATGAAGCATAGGGTTTGCTTTTTTGGGGTGTCACTTCTTGGAGTGAGTACCTAAAACAGATGTAGTTTTTTGAAGTATGAAACAAAATCTAGTTATTGATTAAAAAGTATATAAATACAAATAAAAAAGCTCGAAGCTTATGAAGTGACTCCACAGAGTTCAGACCTTTAGCAGTATAAACATAATATAAACTTCATTGTCTGTAGTATTGTGCCATGACATTAGTCTCACCAAGACAAAATGCCACTTTGCAGCAAGCAATAAATCTGACAAAGCATTTTTAAACATAATGCCCTAACTTGCTAAGACAGGCTTTTACACGCTTCCAAACTCTTCTCCCTGAAAATTAACCCCGTTGATTCTTCAAATGTTAAGGGTCTCGGGCAAAAGTAAACCAAAGGCTGAAGTAAAATAACCATCCCCTTGGAACTGAACAAAAACTTACATCCAGGAGGGATCAGTCAAATTTCATATACATATATATATGTATGCGATACACATATATATGAAATTAAAATAGAGACACACATGACTTGGGCATCAGAAGGGGACTGCTACTTTCATACATTCATAAATAGCTGCTGAACTCTCTACTCATGAAGAAGCTCTTGTAGGCAGTTTGGGGATTTGAAAATCTCAGGGACCTCACTGTCCAGCTTACAGATGACCTTGTATATGGCCTTCTTCCAGGAAGGATCAACATCTTTGCCTGCGATAATGGCATTGAAAAACTCCCGTAACGTGATCTGAGCCACTTCCAGGAATCTCTCTGGAACCTGCTGATACAAGGAGACAATGGCATTAATACAGTTTTCAATTTCAAGTCTCTGGTTCTTCAAAGGAAACTGAGCTAAGTTCTTTCTTTCAGAAAGGGGCTTACATAGCACCTGCATTTTCTAAATGTGGCAGCCTTCTATTCTCTTATGCAAAGCTGTTATATATAGTACTATAGCAATAACTTCTATAACATGTGTTGGAGATCTTTGTAAAGTCTACTGACAGAATGTAGGTAACAAAATGTTACTGTCTGAGTAGGGAGAGTAGGGGATTTATAGGATATAATTAGCAGGAGGGGAAACAAGCACAATTGTCTTTAAGGAAAGAAATCTCTGCTTGATATTTTACCCGTGCATTTATGTCCACGTTCCCCTCTCCATGTGAGAACAAATATGAAAGTTGTGCACGCACAGAAAGCCCTTTGTACCTTTGTGCTTGACTTTGGTCACAACCAGTGCTGAAAGCAGTTAAAGAAATTGGGTATTTCTGAATGTTGTTTGTAGTTTAAAACCACACAGGAAAGCCTTCAGCTAGTGACTTGCTTCTGTGGCTGCTATGCACAAGAACCCCATAAAACGGCTTTCTCAGGAGACACTATGGTCTTTCCTTCTTTTTCAGGAGCACACAAATACCACCCTAACCTCTTTAACGGGTGCATTGTGCTCCAAGTGGTTTCTGAGTTGTGATGCTTTAAACTCATTTGTGGTTTCCAAATGTCACTGTGAGTCAAACACCCAGCTGGAAGGAACGTGCCACTCTCAGAAGCTCCTGAACAATGGGCGAATGCTAAAAACCACAGTTACCTCCAAACTTTAGTAATTCATTCTAAGTAGTTGTCTCAGGAACCAGCACCACCTTCTCACCCTATGCCTTAAATGATTCAAAAGCAATCACTCTAATGAACTGCAGGGCAGTTGCAAGGTTGAGGTAATCTCCATAAAGGTATTATTTTCCACTTTTATCACGGAAATATGGCTTCACAGCTCTAGAACTGCTAATACACAGCCAGCCAGTAGCCAGCATGCTTATAATAGCAAGTATTCCCTCACTGCTATTCTTTGTCCCCTCCGGCAAGAGGAGATCTCCGACCTGCACTAGGAGCCACTTGAACCATTCCCGAGGCAAACAGACACTTGGGCAGCTCTCACTGATTTACTGAATTCATGTCACACTGCCAGATCAAGGCCAGCCCCTGATTCTCTACTTCAGGCTTTTCTTCTTGTCCCTTTAGAAGCCACTTTCAAAAAACTTGTCTGGAAATGTGTGCGATCAATCTGATACAACCGAGCTCTGGAGTCTCGCTCACCTATCATTGTTAGGGAAACACCAGCAGTTTGATAGCCACGTTCTGCCATCAGATAAGCATGAGATCAGCTCCCCCTGACACCAGCTGACCAACTCTGCTTCCAGAAGCCCCAGAGAAGTCCTCTGTCTACCTCTGAGAGTGAAATCCAGCCCCCACATTTTTTGGGGTTTTTTCTTCCTCTCAAAAGCATCTGGAAATTTTTCATTCAACAGGGTGCATAGAAAGACACAGCTTTAGAGATGGTCTATTCTAGCAATAATTAAGAGAAATGAACTGTAATGTTTCACTTACTCCAGCTCAAAGAAATTGCTTAAGAACTCCCCATAACCACTCAGCTGTCAGGCATTTGATAACATGTCTATAGAAAATACCATACCGCTTGCATTGCTATAAAAAATTGACATGCTTTTCTGTTCATGCACTTCAATGCTCACATACTGTTCAGCACCCTTGGTATTGCTGGGCACTAACCAAGGGGAAGGAGTTTCTGACTACATGATATCGGAAATCAGGAAGGGGAGTAGATAACCATATTAATGTAGTAGACAGTGATGTTAGTTCATGGGACCAAAACCTTTTGATTTTGGTATCCACTCCAGAGGACCAACACTAGTTGTCTTTCTTCCCTCCCAAGCTGCTGGAGAGGAGAAAGAGGCAATTACACAAGAAGCATGAAGTCAAAATACACAAAGTTCTATCTCTCCTTCCTACCTCATGGTTACACACGACAGCTTTAAGCATAGAAGTGACAACCTGGTTTTAAGTTGGGCCTTTGCCGTTCAATTTCTACCTGTGCATTTGAAAGTTTTCCAGGTAGAGGATGCTGCTTTTCCATGGAGTAGGCAGTGTGAAACCCCTGAACCCATAGCCCCCAGGCCTTCCAGCGCTGTAGCGACACACAGGCTTTTTTTTTTAGACTGAGAATTATCTTTTAAGGTCCAACTTTATTATACCTAAGTCACATCTGCAGGGTCAGGCCTCTTTGAACCTGGTACAACAGGCTGCAGAGAGCATCCCACAAACATAACAGTGAACAAACCCAATAGTGAACAAAGCCCTGTGGGGGCTTTGAAGAGACACAACTTTTCAGCTTTTTCTTCCTCTGGAGGCTTCACCTTGTAAAGCTGAGTTCCTAAAGATTGCCCCTACTCCTAAGGCATTAGAACCATTCATAGTTCTTTCCTTTTGGGATGTTATTAGCAATTTTTCATGTCAGACTGGATTACACACTTTGCATGTAGTAATGTGAATTCCATTGTGATTAATCCCACAGGATGGTAATTCAGCCAACACTTTTCCTTTCTAGAAAGAGTATCTGCAGTTTTTTTCTATTGTTTGGGTTTGTTTTTTTTTTTATAAAAGAGAACACTAGTGAAGTCCAGAGCCTGAAAATAAATATTTAAATGCATGGGTAGTTATATTTTTCAGTGGGCAATTAATCAGTCAGCCATGCTAATTTTGTGTCTGGGGGTGGCATTTCCCTGACCCTAAGTGATGGCGACCTATTCAGCGCATCTTTACACCTAACTGACTGAACATCTCTGAAGTAGGAACATCTGCATAAAATGCTTCAGTGACAAATAAACTCTATCTACATTGCTTTTAATAGAACCAACAATCCCTAGTATGAACTCAGGGCATTTTCTTAGCATCAGGTGGCAGCAGTCAATCAAAGAATCACACTGTGCATTCACCAGGAGGAAAGAAAATGAGGTCTGGTTGGGGGAGTCTAGGTGGGTCTCAGGCTGAGGCCTCCACATCAGCCCAATTTAGAAAGAAATCACACTTTGCAGCATGCTTTGTCAGTGTAACTTCACTGCCAAGGGAAAAAGTCACAGGCCAGACTTGGGGCCAGTGTAAATCAGCAGGGCTCTGCCAGCCTCAGTACAGTTACACTAATTTACACCTGGTACACATCAGTCCTGTACTTTCTAACACAGTCCAACAACCTCCATGGTGCCCCTTTCTTAAGCCTTAGCCATGTTAGCACGTCCCTTTTGTCTATGAAAACTGGGAGGGAATTAAAGCTCTCATCTGCTCTTGTCCATTTGTGCTGTTTTAACTACTGGCATTTTCCTTGGCTTGAACAACAAACCTGAACTATTCACTCTTGGGTTTGCATGTGCAACTATCATGCCGAAGCATTTGGCTTTGCACTGTGGGGGTGTGCTTTGTTAAAAATACTCAGCACACACTACTTCTATGGGAGCAAAAGTATAGTTCCAATGGCTCAAAAGTTGCAGTCAAGTCAGACCTAACTAACTCTTCTCTCACACAGAAGCACACACAGTTGAAGAAAGCTTTATAAATACTTGTTGAACTTTTTTCAAGGAAAGTGTTACCCAAAAGGAACTGGGGATTGAGAAGGTGAGGGCAGTTCCTCAGCAGGACTAAGTCAGCATTGCCTGAGGAAAATCAGTGAAGCAACTCTGATTTTAAGCCAATAGAGAATTAAGCTTCTCTTTCTGATGAACCTTAAAAATCATTGTCGTGAAGGAGGGCACACTAAAAGTAGCTGTGTGTGTCTTAAATTGGTGGTCAATCAGTGACCCTGCACTGTTTTTCTCATTATTAGGTTGTCTTGTATCTTCTATTTTTATTAGTTAATTTTTTTTTTTGAGTTGTGCGGCAAAGACTTTTTCTCCCTTTCCTCCTGTTCCTCTCATCTCCTCCCCTTCCCGAGCCCTCCTCCTCTTCCCAGTTGCTTTACCTTCAAGGATGATTTGTTTTATTAAACTGACTGTCCCCAGCCTCTGCAGTACATAATAAAAGCCTGACATAGCAGCCTGCCTGCCTTCTGTGTCCTGCAGATACTCATCATAAGTGTCAGGACATACCAAGGTTAGCGGTCACTGGAAGTGCGCTCGCTGGCTCAAGCCTTGCCAAACATGCTTGGCAGCTGAATGAATGTCACAGAGAATAGAAGGGGAATTACAAAGGTTAGAAAGAAGACAGTCTCTCCCTCTCTCTCTCTTTTTCTTTTCCTGAAGATATATAAGCTGATTTTTCACACTTCTGAAATAAACATCAGCTCATTCACAGTTCTTTTCCAGCTCTTAAATCTCTCCCATTGTCGAGCAAACCTTTAATTTCTACACAAGCATTATTTCTTCATTAGCAAAATAAGATGCTTAAATTCTCTCTTAATAGAAAAGGGGAAAACAACCAAAACCAAATGACAGAACAAATCACCAATCTGCTCCAAGATTTATATGTGTATTTCATGTTGTTAATCCTATTAAGGGTGGGCTTCTCTACAGTTAATCTTTTAAACTTTCAAAAATTCTTGCTCAAGTGGTAAATCTAGATGATAGGAAAAGCAATACAGATGTAAAGATCACGGAATTGTGAAAGTCAAGTTAAAACCGATATTCCAGAGAATTGTGTTTTGTTTTTTTACTATAAAAGGGCAATAAAATGCTGACTGTAAGAAGACAATGTCAAGGAGAAAAGGGTATTGGTATTTTGGATACTCTTGACTGCTCGCCTTGGAGAGAGAGTTATTCTTGTCACAAACCCTTTTGTCTGCATCTGCTGACTGCTTGCCTGTAGCCAGCAGCATACTTTAACTGTTTTGTCACCTCCTAACATCACATGCATCAGCTGTTGTGCTTTTGTTACGGGTATTGTAGAGCTAATCCACTGTGGCTGTTCTACTGTGCAGTAAATAAAACAGAAACTGCTTCTCAGACA